AAATGAAAGATTTGTCCATTATTATTTGGCATTTCCTCCGATATGTTATAACTCTTTATTGATTTCCAAATGTTTTGACCATCAATTATTCTATATCAATATATGATGAATTATCGTACTAGTAACAAAATTAAATATTAAGATTATTTATGTAATACCTAGGTCCGAAAATCAGTTCGGAATAATTTTTTTATTAGATTAATTATCTAATAATTATATAAAAATAATTTTATATTCTATTTTATGTTATTTTTATTTAATTAAATTTTTGAGAAAAAAATGAATTAAGAACGAGATTGAAAATAATATTAAAAAAAATGTGTGAATATTTGAGTTTGAAGGGTGTTTTTAAAAGAAAAATTAGAAATAGGGGAGTCAAAGTACAAAAAAATAAAAATTCGGCCACGTGGGTGACCCAGTCAGCAACGCCGACGAACTAGAGCACGCCGCGTGTCAAAACACGCTGATGTCGCCATCACGCAGGCGATCCGCGTGCCCAATGATCCAACGGTCCAAATTTGATCCCGCGCATGTGAACAGCTCAAATTGGTTCCTTTTTTAGGCACGATCGGACGGATAAGATCATCGCGATAAACGGTCTAGATTCACTCATACAATCGGCCTAAACAGGCAAAGATCTGACGACCCTCATCGCTCCATGTCGACATGAATAGACGGTCTAAATAAATACGAGATGGGTATAAATATCTCGCATCGCAGAAAAACTCAAACCCTAGCCGTCAGCCACCGTCAGAGAAGAAGAACCAGGCACCGGATAAGACGACTGATCGTTGACCGCCACTACACCAGAGCCACTGTCGACCGCAAAAAAAAAAGTAAAATTTCTCTCTACCCACTCAAAATTTGATTCTGACCCTCCATATTGAAGCAAGATGAAAGGCGGGTAAACTGAAAAACCGCGGACAAAGCCCAGCGGAGCTAAAACGGCCCGTGAAATATAAAAAAAATAAATTATGAATTGAATGCGAAAGTAAAACAATAAATTAGGGTTTACATTCCTTACACAATAATTCATGATACCTAATAGGGATAAGAGAATGACATTTATAAAAGAACAACTAATAATCAAATAAATAAATGAAAAGTAAACAAATTGAACGTCCTACTCGTAACCCTCTTGTGGATTGGGTTCTAAATTTTGGTCTTCTTGATCTGAAATGGTTAATAAATGAGTGAGCTACACTAACCTAGTAAGAATGTCACGCTACTCACTGACACAAAAATAAATATTGGTAAAAATTATAAAAAATAACTAATTGAGCTCTTAATTTAAGTAAAATCTGTTTATCATAAATAAAGTCATTTATCGCATGCTTACTATAGCGAGATTTACAAAATATACCTATGGAGTCAAAAACATAAACAGTACCATAATTTCATATGCAATCAGTCAAAATAACAACATTTCTCTTTTATTAGTTTACTGGTATTCATGGGGGACCATAAGAATATCCCCACTACATGTGAATGTTTATTCAATATTTTCAAATAACGGGCCGTCTCCATAATCTGTCCGGTATGAGCACTAAAAAATATCATCCCTTAAATACCTTGTCCGATATGAGGGTGAAATGAACCGTCCCCATATCCCGTCCAGTATGAGTGTCAAATTACCAATCATCGATACCTCGTCCAGTATGAGACAACGTTCACGGTAGGGTTCCCTATGTAT